AGCATGCCCATTAACCCTTCACAGCTGTCAGTCATGGTATCCACTTGATTCGATGGACGAGCATCTGAGCCCAAGCCCTACTCTCTCCCCTCACCCATCCAGCAAGGCCTCTCACCATCATAGCCGTCATCATCGTCACTAGCATCGTCATCATCCAACTTCATATGCGCGGGATATCCTTTACCTTACCACATAGCCCAGTTGCCCAAAAAGGCGGAGCGAAGCGCATCATCCTACGCTTATCCGTAGCATCCTCCTCGGGTTCCTCATCACTAGAACTTTCTTCCTCCTTCAACTCCTCCGCTCTATTACGAGCCTCCTCCTGTTGACGAACCCACTGCTGCCTCTGCGACTCGGTCTCCTTAGCATGCCTGGCCTCTATATCTCGTAACATAGCTACCTACCAACAGGGATTAACGACCATCACCACCACCACGACCACAGCTACGCTCACCTGAGTATTGTATTCCTCCTGACTCATCGGTACCGGCGTACCCTCAGCCGTGGCCGCTCTCATTTTACCATCTGTGTCCTTCCTCATCTGCATTGCCGCGAAGACCCCTGGCGCCCCCATAGGCGCCGCAGCTGCCATCATTGCGTTATATGCTTCCCAGTTAGAAGTGTTGGACTGACAAAGCAAACACTGCTACCCTCATCACGGGCCTACCCCACCAACCCGAACACAATGGCCCCACTAACGCGTCGAAGCGGGCATTCCAACTCACATCAGGAGCACCATTAAAGGGCAAGTTGAAGGCAGCCTCCGACGCCGGGCCCTTCTCACAGTTTTTCCACGTATCAACGCCCTGCAACTTCGCTCGGAGGAGCATCTCCCCTGCATACGTACTATCGTGCATCAGCGGTACCCATCTGATGACCACTATCAATATCGATGAGTGCTGCTGGTATTACCCTCGGACTTCACCGTATTTACGAATCACCTTCATACTAAGATGACAAACAGCTACATTTTTATCCGACCGGAAGGTCCGCTGCAGGATCACCGTCACATGTACCTATCACATGAAATCGAGGAGAAGGCTGAAGGCCCTTATGAGTTTCCTGAGAAACTGTGTGGCGATAAGACTGCGCGCCTAGTGCGGTCGGCATTGGCCACCCAACAACAACAACAACAACAACAACAACAACAACAACAACAACAACAACAACAACAACAACAACAACAACAACAACAACTACAACAACAACAACCACATGACCTCGTGACAGCGCCGCCCAGCAAAAAGGATCGGTACTTACAAAGGCTTTGTTCCAGAAGTCGGCGTTGTTCTCCTGCTGATCACCCTTGAGAAAGAACCCTGCCTCTCTATTAAACTCCTTGTCATTGCTACCATCTAACCATGACACAAGTCGTCACAGAACAACTCAGAACGAACGTTTTTACACGGGCCAAAACTCCCGTATTACCAACCCATGCTGTCCTCTTGGGCCTCTGTCCATCGAGTTCGACCTCAACTGCATGACAGCCTGTATCCTTCAGATGCTTCACCCGCATGATAGACACTCGAAGCTCTGGTTTGACCCAACCTTTAGCACTCGTTGGCATACTGGTAAAAGAAATAATAACAAAACCTAATCATAGCCATCAACCTAGTTTACACTGGATCTATGCATAGAAGTCTACGCCAACACGATGGGGAAGGTCGCCACTTCCCTAGCACTGTACAGTCCAACCCGCATCATGTACGTACATCAAACGAACACGCTACCGCCCGCTTCGTTACGAACTCTGCTTGGATCATTCATTCGTTGTTTTTCTATCACATATAAGAGTGTGCCACAATTACAGTCACGGCCTGCATCCGGCGATCATTTACACCCTGCCATGACCGATCTGTCAACACTGACCATACCAGGGTGAACAACAAAGAGAATGTAGCCCCACGCCATCCATGGGCCTTTTCTTCAAGGATGCTCTATACCTCTCAGAGAGGAACTTCAAGATCCACGAAAAAGCCCCAAAGGACCTCCCCGACCACTCCCAACACTACAGCATCGGACAGTCACAAATGTGTCAATGGAAACTTCACCAACGTGCATCACCCGCATGGGAACGTTCGAGCAGCCAGGAAGCTTACACCAATTATGCATCGTTATGAGCCTCCATCATATTACCTACAAAAACCACATACAAGCCAGAAACAACAACAATACCATTACACTCAGTGTCTCAGCCGTGGGATGATCGTCATAACTCGTTGGGGAACAAGTCGAACGGGGCATTATGTCCATCGAGCCCAGGCCCGCTAGGGTTCTCGAATGGATCGAAACACTTGAGATCTACAAATGCCAAGTAGGTTGAGCATACAGCCCTTTATGTCAAAACCCGTCTCGACTAGAGGTCCCCCCGTCAAGGTTTAAGGAGTCATCCATCACTATCGAGCTGGACAGGGTGTATCCAGATTCAGACTATCCTCTTACTACCAGACGGGGTGGA